CCGGGGGGCAGCGGGTGCGGACTGAATCCCCGCGCGCCCCGCGCCTGGCTCGAGCCGAGGGCGAAGAGGGCCTGGCTCGGCACCCCGCGCCTCACGCCTCACGCCCCGGTCCCCGCTCTCGCTTTCGGTACCCCTGCAGCTCCAAGCGTTTGGTGACCCTGGCTCGGGGACTGTCGCCTGCTTTTCTGCGCTTCGGGGGCAAAAGGACCGACTTCTTACAGTTCCAGAACCTGAGGAACCCGGCGAAGAGCCGCGGGGGCCCCGGCCCCGATTACTATCTCAAGAACTACGAGGATGGTGAGATACTTGCTTCCGGTTCTTGCGGGGGGGTGGGGGGGGTGGGGGGTTTGAGGGGTTTTGGGGAGAGGGAGAGATCACTTGGTCTGTGTATGTGCGTGTGTGCGGGTGGTGGTTGGGGTGGGGAACACCCCTTTTTTGGAAGAAAGCCTGGCTGAAACTCCCCTGGAAAGCTGGTGACGGAGGGCGAGGGGACACTGGGGTACGATTCCCAACGTGATTACGCAGAGGTTCGCCAGGTTGGTCCCGCTGCCCGCCTGTGGCTGGGGCAAGTCTCCCAGGCCTAGAAGTGTTAACCAAACTCCGCCAGGCTAGACTTGCCGGAGAAGGTGTAATGGGTTTCCAGAGAAAACCGAGCCAGGTTCACAGGCTCTTAGAGGTCAGGGTCACGCCATTCTTTTAAAAAGCTTCTTTTTTTTTTTTTGTTTCTCTTAATTTCTTGCTTTTCTGAAATGAGGTTATGGAGAGGTTCAGCTTTTTTTTTTTTTTTGAAACCCACACTTAAGATTTTCTAGAGTAATCTCTTCTAGGTTAGCTCCTTCTTAGGGAAGATTTGAAAATCTCACAGTGAATTCTTTTTCAGACTGCCTAATCTGAATGGAAAAAAAAATAATGAGATTATAAGTGCCAGCCTTCTTTCCTGCCAGGATTTGATAAATTACATGTTGAAAGATTATGAAAACTCCAAATGCCATGGCATTGTGAGAGACAAATCCTTTTAGGTATGAACAAACTAATTTTTTAATTGGAAAAAAATAACAATGGTATTGAAACTTTTGATTAGAGGGTTGGTCTTAATATCTATGTACGTTCAGGGTGGGTGGAGGAACACACTTTGTTTCCTCTAGGCAAGGTGAGACCTGGTGAATCTTGATTGGATAGAAGAGACATTAGTGTCCATTATTAGATGCCATGCCCTGCTGTGCCTCCCGAGTGAGCTACAAAGTTTATTTGTAAAGGGCACAGGGACAGTTTCTTAAAGCTCCCTGAATTTTGTTACCTCTTGTCCTTATAAATCAGTAAAAGGAGGAAATGCAGCAATATTTTTGGGGCTTTCACTGAATGGGAATTTTGGAGAAATGGGATCTATTTCAAGGGTGGCTGAGAAATATTTTTTCAAGTGCCAGAATAGAGAAAGAGGTCAAAGTGGAGGCTTCTAGAGAATGAAGCATGAATCGTATTTACTGTTTTATAACATTTGCCAAGGCATATAGATGTTTAAAGTTACATCTTTGCAAAGGTAAATTTTTTTTTTGCCATAAAAATATGGTTTGTGAGTGGATTTTGCTGTCACTCAGTATAAAGTGCTGAAAGGTAAAAGATAACCCTGAACAGCAGCTCTGATGGTAATTTGACCCAGTGCCTTAAAGCTCCCAGGGTCACTGTCAGCTCTGTTCAGACAGAGAAGGGAGGATATTAATGGTTTTCCTGACGAAACAGCTCTTCTTTGAATCCATTTGAATTACTTCCTCTTTAGTTTGTGGAAAAGCTTGTAAGGACCTCAGGACTCACTGGGAAGGTGGGGGAAGGACCATTATAAGTTTAGGAATTGGCCTTTTTCCCCAAACTTGTTCCTAGGATTGTATTACCAATTCAATTAGGACTTGGGATCTGCTTAAAATAAAGGTTACAATTTGTTTCCCTTTGTAAAAAGAGTAAGTGGGTATGATGGGGGTGGGGGGAGGAAATTGGCAGAACTCCGTGCCCCATAAAACTTCATTGAATTTTAAAAAAGTCAGAAAGGGAAAAGATCTAAGAGGTCATCTTCAGTCTTCCCACCACTTCAGGGGCCAGTACAGGGTCTTTCCATATGGAAGGAATCCTTTCTTGTTTTGTCCAACCTGGTATTGAATGTCTGTAGGAATGTAGTTTCACCACTCCTGTGGGAAACAGTCTTTCTCTCCCATAGGTTTTTGCTGGCTAATCTTCCCTGAATTTTCTCTTTATGAATATTCTCCAAATAGTTATGATTATTCTTCTTTGCACTTTTTAGACATACACTTTCAAAATAATCTCCGTCTCTGGTGTGTCAGCCTCAAAAAGAAAGAGTTTTCCTCATAGCTGGTTTTTATCTAGACTACCTGGATTTAATTCTTTTAAAACTTTCTTTAAAGTCAGTCCTTCCAGACACTAATCTGTTTTATTGCTCCTAGCTGAGCTCCTTTTGATTTATGTCTCCTTGGTAATAAGATGCTCTGAACTATATCAGTATTTGAGGCCTTAGCAGAGTTAAGGAGAGTAGGAATGCCCTATTTCTGCCCTTTGATGCTAACATATCCTTAAATCACCCACCTTATCTTTGTTGTTGCATTGCAGAGCTCAAGACAAACATGTCTTTGGTTATATCTCAGCACTTTTGCAAACATACTTCAGTTGTTAATTTTCAACTGATGATAATTGTCTTCATCATGAGCATCCTAAAAAAATTTAGATTGCTTTAGTAAATGACCACATAATATGCACTGGTAAAAGCTCTTTACAAAAAAAAAAATTGTATTTAAGTAATAAGATAGGTCTATTGACACATTATCAAACTGAATAATATAATGAAGATAATATGGAATTTGGACTTAGAAAGTATGCATCCTGAAGGCCTTGCTCTGTCCCTTCGGAATCTGTGGCCTTTGGGATTGCTGCTGCCTTAAGACATGTGAATGTTGATAATATCTGCTGCAATATTGCTTCTGTGAGGGTTCTAGGAGATAAGGTGTGTAAAATAGCTTGCTAACTGCAAAACTTTATATGAAGGCTAAAGATTGTTTTGTTAAAGGCAGCTTCAGAAGCTGGAGAACATAGACTTAATGTTTAAAAGTGAGGTTAAAGAGGGAATATGTTTGTGAGATGGAAGTTTGTATAGGAGGAAGATAGATTTAGGGGATTGTTTGAAAGGATGAGAGAACTATAAGGAGAATTATCTTTAAGGAACAGAGGTAGAGGACATCGATAGGGTGGCTCTGTGTGTGTAATTAGAAAAGAGACTAAACTTTGATATTCTACATTTACATTAAAATGAATTGATAGTTCTAGTTTGGATGAAAATACATATTTTTGGTTAATTCACTTAAACTTCTACCTTAAAGTGATTTTTGTTGTTTCCCCCTGAATTAATCATGAAATTGACAAGTCATATGAATTCTGTTTTCCAAATACATTTTAAGCCTTTTTGTACAATTGTGTTTTCTCCAACTTTCTAAAGTCCCTCTTTATGTGTAATTTTGGGAACCTCTCAGGTTACACCGTTAATATAGTTACCTGTTTCACTCTAGGCCAGGCAACCTGAATTTTATACAAACATGGTGATGCTGGAGGAAATAAAAACAGGATTGTTCTTCATACCTTAGACTCTTACTCTTTGCCTAACTTCCTCTCTATTCTATGTGATGTTATGCTTTTTTTGCTCCTGACAAAGAAAGCTTGGGCTGAGCTCTTCTTCTTAAGTTTATTTTGCTCCAATGTGTCTCTTTGTTTTATACCTGTGTGCCGTGTATGCCATAACCATATCTTTCAAGATGTGCATCACTTATTATGCACAACACAGGCAGCCTGATTCTTTGTCACACTTTTGCTTGAAAACTTTGATTATTTTTGAATTGCTTCAAAAAATGTTCAAACTCCTCAATTTGGCACTCAGAGCCTTTCTCATTTCAGGCTCATCTTACCTTTTGGAGCCTGTGTTTTCATCTGAGTACACCTCTGAGTACAGCCGCACTTGATTTTCACTGTCTCCTTACAGTACCTTCATCACCTTAACCCCATGCTGCTGTTTAGTCAAGTACCTTTGTCTTGGCTCTGTTCAAATTCTACTCCCAACCCCACCAAATTCCTGGGGCCCAGTGCCCACGCCCCGATTTTCACAAAGCCTTTCTTGTACAGGTTGTTTCATAGCCTTCTCTTCTTCCTCTGGACTGTTGTAACTTTCACCCTTTATGCTGTTTTTTGTCCTCTTCTGCTTTGTTTTACTCTGACTTTACACTATATATTTACCTTCCTAACTAGAATGCATATACTTTATAGGAAATGACCATATCGAATCATTATATATCACAAAATATCTAGTGTGATAGATGACACATTCCTATAGGACACATACCTCAAGTATGTTGGGGTTTCAGATAGGCTAAGAGCACGCACAAAGGCATTTGGGAAAGGGGAGGCCGTGAATGAACAAATGAGTGAATGTACATGTGATGGTTGGGTTTTTACCTTTGGTGCCTTTGTCCAGATAATCTGCTTAAAGGTTATTGAAATTACATGCTTCATTTAATTTTTTCATTCTTTATTATTTTAGCAATGCACTTTTTATTTTTGTCAGTCTAAGTTGTCTTGGTTTCATGGTACCCATTAAGTCAACTTTACATTAAAACCTTGCACTGTACCTACACTAATTTTTTTTTTTTTACTGTATCTGCTTCTTTTCTACCTTTACTTTTGCTTTTCCTTAGTAGCCTTATGTAGTTTCTATCCCAGATTTCCCAATTCCTGATTTGATAGTATCTTCTCACAAGGTTTGAATTTTTTACTCATCTGAAGATTTTCCTTCTGAGAGCTTTGAAGAACCTAAGGGATGAATGTGAGGACACTTGGTAAACTCTAAGGCATAACATGCTATCACTGTTCTCCTTTCTCCAATAAATTTCCCCAGTTTTAGTAGTGGTGAGGTAGTTACTTTTTCTTCTCATCCTATTCGATCAAACATAAGAACAATACAGTTGCAGAAATACAGCCTTGTCTTGAATTATCCACTTTTCATTGTCTTACTTTATTTCACATAAATGTTTCTTGAAATTCAATTACATTTAACAGGTACTTATTAATTTAGTCTCTATGTCTAGTTTCATGATGGACAAAGGATGACACAATATAAAATGAATAAAGGATATTCCCAAGGCCACTAGGATATAACTATAACAATTGCTGTAGTCAGGATGTACTCAATAGTGCTGAAATAAGTAGGCAGAACAGGATGTTTGCCTCACCTCAAAGTATCTCTCCATAATATC